TAATCTGTGATTTTTGTTAATATATTCTGGATGCATTTAACTATTATTGACATATTTCCTTATAAATAATAGAAGATTCCTAAATTTATATCTATTGACATATTTTGCGTGACTAAGTTGGAAGGTGTGGGGTAATTTACCAAAACAAAATTGTTAAGCATATTATAAGATAAAATAATGATAATATTATTAGAGAGTTTATGTAACATAACTTTCTAGTAACAGTCCATTTTTTTAAAAATCACACATGAAATCAAGTCATGACTTCTGTTTTAATATATAAGATGGTATAACAGAGTAAATACAAGTAGACCTCCACACACTGTGCTACTTATTGATAATTACGACGTCAGAGCTTTCAACTTGATCACCATTTTTGACATCGTTTCTTGGTTTGTGGATATCAAGAAGTGAGAACGTGAATGAATAGTAAATGTGATGCTTGAAGTTATGCATCTTTTGTAGTTATAGCCGCCTTTCATTTGAATTACTAAACTTTTGTTGTTGCGCTTTTTTGTGCAGTCTATGTGACCAAACAAATAGGAATTCCCTGAGTATAAAACTTGATTGTGTTCATTATTGTTGTAAAGTAACTTTGAAAAAAGGTTTAGATGTGAAACAAAGTTTAACTAATGTATGATGAGGTTGTGATAATATGGTGTAGAATATCCCAAGAGATGACATGTAACTGTAATCCGCGAAGTATGAAAGTTAAGCCCTGAAGTTGAAGTAGCAATTGCAGATTATAATATAGGAGTACATGTTTTAGCATGTTAGGATATAGTGAAGGAAGATGGTACGTGATAGCAGTTATGCTGAGTTTCTGGTTGTGGCATGGGATGGTGAAGATATTATACCGTCATGAAGGTGACACGCATGCAAGATGGTCGGTCCCTTTATAAGACAAGAGACATTAAAACGATGTAATTTTTTTTTTTTTGGTCAAACGAATGCCATGTAATTGTTATTCGATTTTAGGCTCTCTTTTTAAATAAAAACACATTATTACTATTTCTTTTTTAATTTCCACTTGAGGGTGAGCTATACGCTCAAAATGGTCGATACTTGATTGAAAATCCGGACCTACTATCAAACAAAATAATAAAGAATTGTTCTTTTATATATTAATGTCAGTGTTTATTTGTCGAGAATAGTGTCATGTCTTTTCTTTACAATATGAAAAAGAAACAGTAGAAAAATAAAATAACTTGTTAGTAAAAAAACAATAAAAAAATAACTTGGGAGAATATTAATAGCAGCCCACTTGAAGTTGTAATCTTTATACCTTTATTTCACTCTCTATCTCTCTAAAATGGGAAAACAAATCAACATAGAGAGTAGTGCTACTACTCACCACCAAGACAATAATGCTTCCGTTATAACAACCTCCACCATCGCCGCCGTCACTTCTTTGTCAGAAACTTGGTCTTCCTCCAAAAGAACTATAGTGCAAGACAATGAAGCTGGCGGAAAACGGCGGAAGAGCAATGGTGGCAATGATAATAAGAATCCGACGTCGTATAGAGGAGTAAGGAAGAGGAGCTGGGGAAAATGGGTGTCAGAGATTAGAGAGCCAAGGAAGAAATCGAGAATCTGGCTTGGTACTTATCCAACGGCTGAGATGGCAGCTCGAGCTCATGACGTAGCGGCTTTAGCCATTAAAGGCAACTCCGTTCAGTATCTCAATTTCCCTGAATTATCCGGTTTGCTTCCTCGTCCGGTTAGCTGCTCTCGCAAGGATATACAAGCTGCAGCTGCCAAAGCCGCAGAAGCCACGTGGCAAGAACCGGTCGTTGATGAGCTAAGACATTCCGAGCTGTCTGCGGCTCAGTCTTCGACTTCAAGCAGTTTCTTGTTTTGTGCGGACACGTTAGATACTTCGAGTACGGACAAGGAAAGCAACGAAGAGACGGTGTTCGATTTGCCGGATCTTTTCACGGGAGGGTTTATGAACCAAAACGACGCGTTTCGTTGCTACGACAGCACGACCACTTGGCAGCTTTATGGAGAGGATGTAGGGTTCAGGCTTGAAGAGCCCTTTGCTTGGCTAGATGACTAAAGTAGCCTGCCGTTGTTTACTTACGTATATGTATATAATCCATGCATGCGGAGATGGAAGGTCTACTTTGGGCAGTCTCATGCGTGCGTCATATGGGATTATCCTCGGTACGGTTCGAAACGGACTGCTCTGACCTAGTAGATATGGTTACTAACTCGGAGGAATGGCCGGCCTTCACAACGGAAATCGAGATACTCCAGAGACTTCATGAGGGCTTTGAGGATATGAGTGTGTATCATATTCCTCGGAGTAGGAATGCTCGAGCGGACGCATTAGCAAAGGCAGCAAGGAAAAAAGGATTTATCTTCTCCCATATAGATCAGACCAGGTCATACGGAGATACTCCACGGAGGATCGACTCGTATGACTACCACTTGATCTAGATAGAATGGGTCGCTGACAAAAAAAAAAAAAAAAAACTAACTTTCACTATCTTTTTTCTTTTCTTTTTGATATTTTTTTCTTTTCTTTTTGTTAATTTTCTACGTGTGCGTATGTTATTAATAAATTTTGTGTGAAATATAGCCCCTTTTTAATAATTGTATGTGTTACTAAAATGAAGTAATGTGAGTGAAAAAACAGTATAATAAGTGACAGTGGCAAAAATGTATTTTAGAGTAAAAAATATACAGAAAACCAAGAAGACAACGTTCGTTGATAGTGAGACCATGTGCATCAATGAAACCCCCCATGGGGTTCATAAGTATTTTTTAATGATTTATGATGGGATCATAAAAAGTGATGAACCCGGGTTAATTTTACATCTCCATCAATGAACCCGAAATCGGGGTTCATAGGAATAAAATAATTTTTTTTTGAAGAAATAATTTTTTTAAAAAAAAAATTATTTTTCAATAAAATGAGAATAAGTAGGTTTTTAAAATTAATTTAAGAGTTTTTATTTTAAATTATACAAGTTATTGAGAATTCAGAAAGATAGTAAAGAATGCAAAAAAGATTTTTATTCAATACATAGAGAATTCATGAAAATACAAATATTATTCGATACATCGAGAATTAATGAAAATACAACGATTATTCATCCAGATTACCAAATTTTTGCCATATGTTTTCAACTAAATCAGCTTTCAAACGAGCATGTATCTGTGAATCCCGAATTTGGTTGCGAGTGTCAAGCATATTGTCCGCATTCACAGATGGTGTTTGTGTTACTTGGGAACTTCTGCTTGACTCAGCTACATCGAACTCAGATGTATCATACTGTGTATATCCGTCTCGTTCATCCTCTACTATCATATTGTGTAGTATGACACAAGTTCTCATAATTCTTCCGATTTTTTCCTTTCCCCATAGTTTAGCTGGGTTTTTAACTATTGCAAACCTCGCTTGCAATACGCCAAAAGCACGTTCGACATCTTTTCTGGCTGATTCTTGTCGTTCAGCAAATAGCTGAGCCTTGGGACTCTGCGGAAGTGGGATGGATTGGATAAAAGTTGACCATTTTGGATAAATGCCGTCCGTAAGATAGTACGCCATACGATAATTGTGGTTGTTGACCTTGAAATTAACTTTCGGAGCTCGACCTTGTAAAAGGTCATCAAAAACGGGTGACCGATCAAGAACATTAATATCGTTGAGGGTACCTGGTAATCCGAAGAATGCGTGCCATATCCAAAGATCATGCGATGCCACAACCTCCAAGACAATTGTCGGCTTTGTTGAACCACGGGTGTATTGTCCTCTCCAAGCCGTAGGGCAATTTTTCCACTCCCAATGCATACAGTCGATGCTGCCTATCATTCCCGGAAACCCGCGAACTTCTCCAACATCAAGTAATCGTTGAAGATCATCAGGTGTAGGTCTTCGTAGATACTCATCTCCAAACAATTGTATTATCGCTTTAGTGAAATGATCCAAACATAAAAGTGCAGTACTTGCCGCAAGTCGGAGATATTCGTCAAGTGAATCTCCTGCTTGACCATATGCGAGCATTCGAATGGCTGAAGTACATTTCTGAAGAGCAGATAGGCCGTACCTTCCGTGACCATTTCTTCGTTGCTGAAAGTATGGAACTTCATTATTCAGGCGATTGACAATGTGAAGGAACAAATGCTTGTTCATTCGAAAACGCCGTCTAAACATATGAGGTGGGTATGTAGGATTTTCAGTGAAATAGTCTTGCCAAAGTTGATTGTGACCTTGTTCCCGATCTCGTTCGATATAAAGTCGTCTACTTGGTTCGGTGGCTTCAACATCAACAACAGAATCGATGAAATCATCAATTTCTTCATCGACCAAATCTTCGAAAGCTTCATACACTGCATCATCTGAGGAGCTTGACATAGTCAATCTTGTTTCAGATTAATATAGAAATGAGAAAGAGATTGATATAGTTAATCTTATGAAGTGTTTCATAGAAATGAGAAAGAGATTGATATAGTTAATCTTGTTTCATATTGTGTTTCATAGAAATGAGAAAGAGATTGATATAGTTAATCTTCTTTCATATTGTGTTTCATAGAAATGAGAAAGAGATTGTTGTTTTATATAGACTTCTAAAGAGAGAAATAACAGAAGGAGATGGGTACATCCATAAACCAAAAGTGCATTATATATAGGGATACAAACCAAGTTCAAAATACATCCGTGACACAAACTAATACATCCGTGACCAAACTGATACATCCGTGACCCAAACAGAAAATATAATTGACCCAAACTGATACATCCGTGACTCCAAATGAAAACTAGTACACTACAATACACTACAAGTGTAGAAAGAAACAAAACTCTACACTTCCCCGTGAAACGAACAGCAGCTTTAATACATCAACCCGTGACCAGCCTTCTCCACCAACCTGTGTCCTGCAAATGAAACAGCAAAACAAATAAAACAAGTTACAAGTCAAAGCCAAAATAAATCAAAACAAACATAAATCAAAACAAACATAAATCACTAACAAAAACAAATGCTTGTTCAAATTACTAACCAAATCAAAGCATAAATAAATCACTAACCAAATCAAAGCATTTCACTCATCAGTTTATTTTTCAGAGACACTTCTATTTCACTTAAGGTTTCTGAGTTTTTGGCCAAGAGACGTTCTAGTATTTTCTGTTTGGACACAATGTTTTTAACATCTAGAATGCTTTGTATCTGGTCAAAAGCTGCCTCCTTCCCGTGCTTCTTGCGTTTAGCAGCTTTGGAAGCTTTAACACCCGGAGGTCTACCCTCTTCCTCCTCAAGCACCACCTCCACAGGCTCCTTTCTTTTTTCCTTTAAACTATCTTTGGACGAAGACTGAGATGCCCATTTCTGGTCAAACCTCAGCACCCTCCAACAGTGTTCAAGTAAGAACCTGACCCCATAATCATTTAAGAAGATGTCATGCGCAACCGTCATGACATCATTCTGACTTTCCCCACTACCCTGCAGCTTTATAGCGGCCTCATAACACCCGACCCACTTGCAAACCTGCTCATTTATTCTACCCCATCTCTACTTACACTGACTCAATTCCCTAGGAACGTTACCAGCTAGCTGAGGACTCGAGTTTACATACTCCTCTACTCTCTTCCAAAAAGCTCCTAATTTCTTCTCATTACCTACTATGGGATCTTTACTAGTGTTCAACCAACCACTAATGAGGACTAGGTCTTCTTTCACTGACCACTTCCTTTTTGATGATGGTTTTGCACCCCCGTTAGCGGCCTCAGGATAGTCCACCTCAATTGGAGGACTGCTCTGGGAAGCTAGAAGGTTAACAAAGCCGGAAGAGTCAACGAAAAAAGAATCCATTTTGGAAGAGGTTTTGGGTTTTCGTTCTTTTAAGGTAATGAGATTTTTAAGTTCAAGTTATTGTATATTTAAAGTATGTTTTGCTTTAAAGACTAACTAGCTACCAAATTTAATTTCTCATTTCTCCGGTTCAGTACAACAAGCATTGAAGACACATCAAATCGATATCCTATAAACACAACATTCATCACAACCCGCGTGCTTTAAATTTAAAGTTAAGTTTGTTTACCAACAAGAGCAGTAGTTGGGTTTATATTTAAAGTTAAGTTTGTTTACCAACTAGAGGACTAGTTGGGTTTAAATTTAAAGTTTAGTTTTTTTACTTCAAAGACTAACTAGCTACCAAATTTACTTTTACTTTAACTTACCAACTAGAGGACTAGTTCAGTTTGTTTACTTCAGACAACGACATTCAAGCAATTTAATAGAAGCGACTTTTAAAATTTGAACTTACCTACGGAGTTTAATCGAGGCACATCCTCTCCAAGTCAGCCAGCCTTACAGTGAGATACTCGACTTGTCCAGAGAGGGTCTTAACCTGCTCTTGGACATTCACATTACAACAAAAAATGAATGTTAATTAGATTTTTCTTTTTTGAAAACAAGCAACTATACAATTTTAAGTTCTAGCTTACCTCCAAAAACTCAATCTGTTTGGTGATAGTGGAGACGCCCTTGATCACCTCCTCAGCCTCCTCCACCCGCTTATTCATCCTCTCGAACTCCTCTTGGACAGCAACAACCCACGGTTGGCGATAATGTAAACCATTATCCTAGTTTACAACAGCAAAATAAAACAAGTTAAAGATATATTTGTATAAAATCTGAACTAAAAAATTAATGAAAATTACCTCGTAATTTAGACAAGTAAAAAAACGCTTCCCAGGAAGAGTATCGTACTCTTCCTCCCCTCGGACCACGTTGATGATTCGTCCACCGCATGAACATTTTCTAGGAATCCCGTATTCGGAATCAACCACGAATCCTAGCATGTTCATGTACTCCTTCTGCCTCTTTGCGTCTCTTCTCTCTTCTGTAGGATCCATCTATAAGAAGACAGATAACAAAATCAGAACCCGTGAGTCGAAACCCTAAATTTATCACAAACCCCCGATAAACGCATCCAAATCGAACCCCCATACGATTTACAAACACTATACCAAACCCACATGTCATTTCTACAACCCTAGCCAGAAACCCCCAAATCAATTTTGGAACCCTAGATAGAAAACCCTAAATCGATTACGATTCCCCCAAAATGAAACAGAAATCGAACCCCCCAACTCGATTTACAACCACTAAACTAACCCCCCTTGTCGATTAAACAACCGTCGATCAAAACCCCCAACTACCCCATCAAACCGATTTTCGCCCCAACTACCCCATCAAACTCGATTTTCGCCCCAACTACCCCATCAAACCTAAACATCCCCGATTTAGACATGCAACGAGTACAATCTCACCTGAGGTCGTCGAGGAGAGAGTACGCCGTCGATTAGATGGATAAGTCGGTTGATTTCGCCGTCGCTGTTGTAATCGCCTCCGGGAGAGAAGAACTTTTCTTTCGAGAGAGACAGACGAAAATGAAACACAAATGAAAAAACCCTTCTTTTCCTCGAGTTGAACGCGTCTTCGAGAGGTCCAATAGGAGAGAGACGCGTGTCTTGAACCCGTATCATACGGGTTCACTCGCGTGAAACGGATCACCAAAATGACCCAATTTTTTAATATATTTTCGTGTCTCGGCCCG